TAGTTAGGCTCTATCCCCACTCTCCCTCAAACCCCTCTCCTTAGGGCAGCCCAGTGATATTTTTCAAAACCTAGATCTGATCTTATGTTACACTTGCCTAAAACCCTTGGCTGCCCATCCTTTTAGAATAAAACCATAGCCTCAGTCCAGCAGAATCTGACTCTTACTGTTCCAGCCTGGGCTTTCATACCCCTCCCTCCCCATCACCACCTCTCCCACCCCTCAGGGCATTCCCTGTGCTCTGGTCAGTTTCAGATGAAAATGAACAATACTTCCTTCTGCCCCAGGGCCTTGGCACTTGCTATTTCTTCTATCTGAATTGACCTTCCTTTGGCCCAAGTAAGTTGTAAATCATCCTTTAGAATCCAGCTCAAGCATCACTTCCTCAACCATTCTTGGAGTCGGCTCCCCTCAACAAGGCAAGGAATCTATCTTCTCTCTCATGTCCTCATGCCATGTTCATTTCCTCCAGAGTAGTTATTTCAGTTTATGAGTATATATTCATTCCTGTAACATTTTTTTTACATTTTTTTTTAAGATTTTATTTATTTATTTGACAGAGAAAGACACAGCGAGAGAGGGAACACAAGCAGGGGGAGCGGGAGAGGGAGAAGCAGGCTTCCCGCGGAGCAGGGAGCCCGACATGGGGCTCGATCCCAGGACCCTAGGATCACGACCTGAGCCGAAGGCAGACACTTCACGACTGAGCCACCCAGGCGCCCCCATTTTTTTTTTTACTTTTTAATTTAATACAGAAAAATTGACCTATATTTGGTGTACAGACTTTTAACATCAATAGATTGATGTAACCACCACCATGATCAGGAAACAGAACAGCTCATTACTCCCAAAACATCTCTCATGCTACCCCCTTGTAGTCAGGCCCTTCCCCATCCTTTAGTCTGCTACCACTGATCTGTTCCCTATACTGTCATTTCATCTTTTCCGCAACGCCATATAAGTAAAATCGCATAGTATGTATGATTTCACAGGACATAATGCCTTCCAGATTTATCCATGTTGTCGCATGTATCAGTAGTTCATTCCATCTTATTGAAGACTACTGTTTCACTGTACGGGTACACCATTGTTTATCCATTCATCTATTGAAGGACATTGGATTATTTTCAGTTTGGGGCCATTATGAATAGAGCTGCAGTAAACGTTTGTGTGCAGATTTTTGTGTGAACACTGTGCCTGTTTCTCCAGGGTAAGTAAGTAGGAGTGGGACTGCTGGGCCAAATGGTAAGTGTATGTGGAAGTTTATAAGCAATTGCCAAACTGTTTCCCAGAGTGGATATACCATCATGCATCTCCAACAGTAATATATGAGAGTTTCTGATTGCTCTACATCACTTAACCTCACGAACACTTAAAATTGTCAGTATTTTTTATTTTAGTCGTTCCAATAGGTGCGTAGTGGTATTAATTTGCCTTTCATTCATGACTAATGATGTACACATCTTTCATGTGCTTATTTGCCGTCTGTGTGTCCTCTTTGGTAAAGTATCTGTTCAAGTCTTTTGCCCATTTTTTAACTGGGTCATTTGTTTTCTTACTGTTGAGTTTTGAGAGTTCTTTATATATTCTGGCTCCAGTTGCTTTGTGGGATATGTAATTTGCAAATATTTTCTTCAGTCTGCACCTTATCTTTTCATTCTCTGAGCAAAATATCTTTCGGAGAGCAGAAGTTTTTCATTTTGATGTTTAGTTTTTCAGTTTTATCTTTTGTGGATGATGCTTTTAGTGGCCCATCCAAGACTCTTTGCCTGACCCTATGTCATTAAGATTCTCTCTTCTTCTAAAGTTTAATAATTTTGTTTTACACTTAGATCTATGATCTATTTGGAATTAGTTTTTATATATGATGGGAAATTTAGATTGAGGTTTGCTTTTTTGCCTATGCATGTCCCGTCCCAGCACTGTTTATTAAAAGACTATCATTTCTCCATTGAATTGTTTGTGCCTGTCCAAAAATCAGTTTGCCATTGTTATATGGGTCTCTTGATTCTGTTCCTTTGATGTGTGTGTTCACTCCTTTGCCAGTGTTACACTGTCTTGATTATTGTAGCTTTATGGTAAGTCCTAAAATCAGGTGGTGTAATTCCTCCAACTTTATTCTTATTTTGCAAAACTGTTTCACCTATTCTAGTTACTTTGCCTTTTCATATAAATTTCAGAATCAGGGGCACCTGGGTGGCTCAGTCGGTTAAGTGTCTGCCTTCAGCTCAGGTCATGATCCCAGGATTCAGGGATCAAGCCCCGCATTGGGCTCCCCACTCAGCAGGGAGTCTGCCTCTCCCTCTCCCTCTCCCGGCCGCTCTGCCTACTTGTGCTCTCTCTCTCTGTGTCAAATAAATAAATAAAATCTTTAAAAAAAAATCAGAATCAGCTTGTCTATCTGTATCTACAAAAAAATATCATACTGGGAATTTTGTTAGAATTGCATTACATCTACAGATCAATTCAGGAAAAATGACATCTTTGCTGTGTGGAGTCTTCTAATCCACATACATGGTATGTCTATTTATTGAGGTCTTTGATTCCTTTAATTGGTGTTCTGTAGTTTTTAGCATATAAATCCTATACATGTTTTGTTAGATTTATACCTACTATTTCCCCATTTGGAGGAACTATTATAATATTTCTCTTAATTTCAGTTTCTAACTTTTTATTACTAGCTTATAGGAATACAGTTTTCTGTGTACTGGCCTTATATCCTTTGATCTTACAAAAGTCACTTCAGTTGTAAACTTTTTTTTGTAGACTCCTTTGGTTTTGTTTTTTGTGTGTTTTGTTGTTGTTGGGGTTTTTTGTTTTTTTGGGTTTTTTTGAGAGAGACAGAGAGACCAAGAGCATGCACGTGAGCAGGGGCTGGGGCAGAGGGGGAGGGAGAGAGAGCATCTCAAGCAGGCTCCACACCTAGCACAGAGCTCAATCTCATGATTGATCGGAAATCAAGAGTCAGACACCCAACCGACTGAGCCACCCAGGCACCCCTGTGTGTTTGTTTGTTTTTTAACATAGACAATAATGTTATTCACAAAAGGGAACAGCTTAATTTCTTCCTTTCCAATCTCACGCATTTCATTTCTTTTTCTTGCCTTATTGCCCCATCTAGGACTTATGGTATATAATATTGGATAGGCATAGTGAGAGTGGACACCCTCACCTGATCCCAATCTTAGGGGAAAGCATTCAGTCTTTTCCTATTAAGGACAACATTAGTTGCAAGGGGTTTTTTTTATAGTCATTTACCTTTTGACATCTCCCTTCCCGTGAGGACGTATGCTCTGTCTGCTCTCAACTCAACCCGCGGTGCCTGGAACAGAACCTAGCACACGGTGGGCTCTCAGTCAGTGGTTCTCTACTTTAGGGACTTAGCCAGCCATAACCGCTGCCCTCATGACGGACAGCGGAGCGGCCTGCCTGAACATTCAGACATTGTGAAGAATAATCTTACAATAAATACCCTGGTGGATCCAAGGAGGCATTAGCCCCATCGCGTTGACTACTTGAAGCTGGAGCCCATCTGCAGATCAGCTTTCTAGCAAGCCATACTGTGTGGAAGGCGTAGTTGTCAATGAGGAGTAGGTGACTGCAGGACCATGATTATCTCAGATTGAGAGCATTCCATTCCCAAAGAGAATTTAAACAAAAAGCTCTCGGCTCTGAAAAACAGGGGCTTTCAGGGGAAAGAGTCACACTACTCTGAAATCTTAGGCCCTCAGATGGGTGGGGTTGTTTCGCTAAATTTATTTCAGCCGCTTATAGAAACACAAGGGGGGGGAGGTGGCTGCTTGCACACCAGCCCTGGCTCTGGAGTATTAATATCTGCCGGGTCAGGCTTTTATTTGGGTTTTGTTTCACCTTTGGGGGGCGGGGAAGCAGGCAGGCAGGCAGCAAGCAGGAATATCTCGCAGCTGCGCAGCTTCTGAGCTGTGCTGCCCCACCTTCCTCCCTGTGCCTTCCCAGCAGGCCAAACCCAGCCCCCTCCCACCGCACCTTAGGGGGGCTCTCTACCCACTGAACACCAAGCTGTCTCATCCAGGCACCTCTGACCTCTGCTCTTCTCCCATTCCCAGAAGGGGTCTGAGCCCTCCAAGAGAGTGAGAGATCCAACCTGGTTGTTTGCTTTCTGGCACAAAGTGTGGGTACCTTTCTCCCTGGCCCCATCAGCACCCCCTGCCCAATCCCACACACCCCCATCCTCAGTGGCTCTACTGTTTAAATGTGGGGAGTTCTTGGGTATGAAATCCGGGCCTTTTCAATCCTGTCTTCCTTCTCCTCAGCCTCCCCCAAGCACCAAACACACATTTTTCTCTGCCTGATACCTGAACGGTCTCTCGTGTCACACACACCCCCATACGTAGAAAAGGGGGTTAAATGAAACCACTATGTTGCTTCTTAAAAACCTGTTCTTGTGCTGAATTTGGAATGCTTTATGGAACACAGGTTAATCACCTCCCACAAATGTGGGAGAAACTGAGGCACAGGAAGGGGAGGTGAGCTCTGTGTCCACCGACTGGCTCTCAGAGGTACCCACTGAACCCGAAAGGACCAGAGAAAGATGGGGCCCTGTGTCGCGGAACTTGCTGCTATGCAGCCTGCTCTCCGAGGACAGAAAGAGAAGACACACACAAGGAAGCTAAAAAATCTGCTGGGCTTGTGACTCAAATAATTACATGAGACTATGGAGAAGTACCACACACAGTCTCGTTCCTTGGCAAACTCCTGTTCCGGGGTCACCAGGGAGGATGCGGAAAGGAGCATCGTCCTCTCTGCTCCCCAGCCCCCAGGTAGAAGGACTGAACAGGGACTGGTGGGAGGGAAGGTGGCCTGGGGCAGGAGGCCCGGAGAGGCCTGACATGAAGATTCTCTAGGGGATTCTTGCTCCTAACTGGGGTGGTTGCTTCAGAGAGAATGAAGGCCACAGACATACTTATAAGCTGTAACGTGCTCACGAGTAAACTAAGTTTCTCTTTTGTCCTAGCCCCCAGCCAGTTTGCTTTGGAATTATCCTCCAGACCTCTCCCCCAGTGCCCAGCCCAGAAAGGGACCAACCCCACCCAGGGGAGCTGTTCCTTTGAGAAGCAGGACCCACCTCCCCAGCCAGAGCAGGGATCAGACAACTCTTGGAGGCTCATCACACAGGCAGCCAGAGAGAGGATGGATTTCTGCCACAGCCCTGTGACTTCTTCCGAGCTGAATTTCTCCTGCCAACTGCACCCTCCACCCTGCGGGGGCCACGGGCCCCCCAAACCCAGGCCTGCCCTCATCTGACCAAAGGCAACCAGATCTGCTGCAGCTGTTCAGGGAGAGAACAAGCTCTCCCAGAGACCGTGGAAGTGGCTAGGGAAAGATTCCTGCCAGCCTGGGGGTGTAAATATTTATACAACGTGGTATGTGGGAAGAGGGAAGGCAGAGGGAGGTGGCAGGAACGAGGTGCACTGAGGCCGCAGGGTGTAAGGAGCCTGCTCTTCGGGCTCAGGTGGGAAGGGCGAGAGGCTGCTAGGATCCTACCCCCCACCCCGAATTCCTACATCAAAGAGGCCTGTCTTTGCCCCCAGCCTTCCGGCCAGAGTTGAGAGGAGAACTTAGAAGAAAGTTCACCATCCTTCCCCTAAGTCCCCTAAACGTTCCTCCGGATTAGGCTAGGCCTCTCTGCAGGGAAGGAGGCTCTGCCCTCAACTGGAGACATGGCAGCTCCACAGGGCCCACGAGTGAGGACTTGTGGGTTCCTGGGGCTTCTGGTTCTAGAGTCTGAAAGGATGCTGGACCCCAAGAGTTGGACTTTAGGGCTGAAGGCTTAGAAAACAGAAGCAAAATACAAGATGAGCAAAGATCTTTCTCCAGCTTCTATATAATCAAGGCCATTTTTCTGAAGTAGCAGGAACGTTGGACATTGATGAAGATGATGAGGAACGGAGGGGACCTGGCAGGCGAGCAAGGCATGGAGAAGGCGAGGGAGCCCTTGGTGGCACTTGCGGGGCAGCACGCGGCCGCCATCACCACAGGGCCCAGGAGAAGACGGAGCAGCCCGATGGACACCCAGCTGGTGCTCTTGGGCCCCGGCACCCCGGGGATGCAGCGCAGCCCCGGGTGCGCATCGACCCAGCCGCTCCTCATCTAGGCCCACCCAGAGCTCAGCCAGGCCCCAGTGGCACCGACGTCCCAGGGTGGGAGGCAGGCGGGGGTCGGGGGGGGGGGGGGGGGGGGGACAGCCAGATGGACTCCAGTCGATCTGCCTCAGACAGCTGGGGAGCAGAGCCAGGACGCGCCTCTCCCCCCGCCCCCGTCACTCCACACAGGAGGGGCGCGGCGGCGACTTCTAGGGTTTCTCTGCCACTGCACCCTTCGAGAAGTGCCACCTGCTTCTATCAGTATGGGGCTGACCCTCAGGGCCTCCCACAGGTGGGCTCTGTGTTGCTCCTCAGTGGCCACCTTTAAGTCACCTTGAAATGATCAGCCACCACCTGCATTCTCCTTGTGCCCTAACAACACCCGCTGGCTGGGCTGGGGGCGTTGGGAGGGAAGGGCCTTCTGCCGGGAAAACGCCTCAGGTCTTCAGCCAGAGAGCGACTCTCAGAGGACACCAAGACTCCCCCAGGAGGCAGCCCCCTAAGGCTGCAAGTCCTCCCACCCACAGCCCAGAGCTTTGCGAGGAATACATTCCCAGGGCACGCACCTCCCCTGAGCGCCGGCCTTTACGGTGGAAGCTGGTGAATCCCCCACCTGTGCACTCAGAGAAGGAAGGATTCCACCGCCTCCCTGAGCGGTGGGGCCCAGGCCCACACACCGTGGAGGAAACACCATCTGCCCCGGCCCTCAGCCCTGGCCTGGCAGCTGATGTGAGCCCTTGAGCTGGGGGAAGAGGAGCCCTGTCCCCCAGCCGCCGCCGCCGCCCCCCCCCCCCCCCCGGAGGGGACTCCTCTTCCAGAGACACCACTGCGGGAAAATCTTCAGATGCTCAGGTCCTCTTCCGCCACCACGGCTCTGTCTGCCGGCTGTGGCCTCCTCCTTGCCAGCTCTGCTGAAACAGATGAGCAAGACTAAAAGCCTGTGTGGCCCAAGGAAAGCTTGAGGGGAGGGAACTGACGCTGAAGGAAAAGGAGAGGAAGAACTACAAGAAACAGGAGAGGAGGGGAATTCAGGAAACGGACAAAATAAACCATCCGGGAATCCAGATGTAAAACAAGGAAGGCCAAAAGAAAAATTATGCTAAGAAGGCAGAGTCGGGTGGGGAAGGGAATTGAGAATGAAAAAGAAGATGAGGGCAGTTATAAATATTCCGGAAAGAGAAGAATGTGAAAGCAAACAACACCAGAAAAAAAAAAAAAAAAATAGATAACCCAGGAGGGAGAGAGGCAGCAATGAGTTTAAAACTGCTTTGACCTTCAACCAACCGCACTCAGTAATGTTCTGAGTCTTGGTGCATTTTGTGGATTTCAGACTCTTCTAACACTGAGCAGAGGACAGTCCTAGAAAAGCAAGCTTTCCTGCATGCCCTTGTTTTTCCTACAATTCCGCAGCTCAGCGCCACCATTGGTCTTTTTCACGGGGAAAGCTCATCTTCCCGGGGCAAGGCCAAAAACCATTCCAGTTCGCCCCAGAGTCTGGTGGCTTCCATCATGGTGCCCTCTGGAGGGCCCACGGGGAGATCGGAGCAAGAGCAGCTCTGTGACGGGGAAGCACTGGGGAGCGATGCAGCTGTACCATCCGCTTTTCATCTTCTAGGGCGGGCTTTTCCCAGCCACCTTGCTGGGGACCAAGGCTAACCCAGCCCTCAGACACAGCGGGGGTGGGCATACCCAACTCTGTGCAGAGCCAGAGGGGTCCCAGCAAATGCAACTTTTGGAAACAACTTAGATGATTTAAATTTGTTTCCAGGCATTCCCAACTGGGACCTAAAGATAGCTACAGTTTTCTCATTGCTGCAAACAGCTTAGTTTCTTGAAGTTCACCGTCAATGCCTCCTATCCATAAACCCCATGAACACTTGCAGAAGACCCTGGGTCCTCTCCCTTTGTCGGCTGGGCCTTTCAGCCTTCTGTTGCCCCTCTTTTCCTCTGTGAGTCAGCCAGTGTCTCTCGTCTGTGTCTGCCCAGGTCGTTCATTTCCCTTACTTAATCACACCCACTTCTGCCCACTCGACCGTTTCTCTAGGGCAGCAGGCCTGGGGGAGACAGCTGAACCAGACCAAGGCAAAATCAAGAAGCAAAGGAAGTAAAAACGTGAGTTTGGTTTAGCGCCCCGCGTTGGCATGTCCAGGCCGTCTGCAGCGGGTGAGGAGGCTTGCCGGTGGACAGGGCTCTGAGCCTCCCCAGGCCACCTAAAACTGCTCCCCCAAAGTTCAGCCAAGGGGAAGGCACACAAGCTGAGCTCTGATTGGCTGGGACAAAGGAAACAGTGCCCACACCGGCCCTTGTCCCCAAGAATTCTTAAATACTTGACCCCGGTTCTCTACATTCCAAAAGTCACATTTTTCTTCTATCAAAAATGGAAAGATGTGGCCAAACGTACAGCAGGGATCACGTCTAGGTGGTAGCCTTGGATACTCAACCCGGTTTCTACTCCTCCCTCCTCACCTTCCAACCTGCCACAGTCGTATAATCTATGACTCAAACTATTATTTAACCATGAAAAAAGACAAACCAGGAAATTAGAGGCTGAATGACCTAAAATTTATTCCATTCAACTGAGCTAATCTCCTAATAAGGGTGTGTATAATAATAAGTCATGCTATATCTGTTCCGGAAGATGTGAACATCGCAGGGAAAAGTGCACGGTGATTGAAGATCCCAACCTGTTGAGATTTGTCCTCAAAAGGCTAAGTGCCTGGTCCTGGGCCACGCTGCCGAGCAGTTTGCCAAACGAGTCTTAACATTTGGGAACCAATGGAGAGTAGCCCATGTTCAAGGCTGACCGCAGTCAAATCCCGGCACTGCCACCGCCCAGGCAAGCAAGGGACTTACCTGCCTCCTCTAGTCTCCTCCGCTATGAAATGGCCGTGAGAGCAACCCCCATCTCCTGGGCCTGCGGCCGCGAGGACAGATGAACAAGGCGCTTGGCACATGTGAGCAGCCCCCCCTCCCTAAAAGCACCCCCAGTCAACTGTTGCTGTGTGTTCAGCAGCGAATTGGCAAGACCAAGAAGGAGGCTGGAGGCCCCACAAAGTGGGGTTCCACGGAGTCACTGGAACACAGTCAAGTATCCCGAGCAAGAGAGAGGAGAGGGTCCCAGAGGAGGCCCAGGCAGCTGGCGGGTGGAGCACTGCGCGGAGAGCCAAGGACAGCCACTCACAGCGTGGGCGGGAGGACGCAGGGGGCTGCGCTCCAGTCCTCCCGCATTAGCTCAACTCGGCTGCATCCCCACCCTTGCATGTGTTCATCCTTCCGTGAACCCCAGCACGTAGTTACCTAGCACCCCCTATGTGCGCAGCACCGGCCAGGCCAAGGGCGGTAGGGGGAGCCAGCTTACGCAGGGATCACAAGCCTCCGAGACTTAATAACCGGGCATTTCTGTCCAAATTCAGAGATCTGTCCTTTTAGGAGCTAGACTGTAAGGATATGACCAAATGCTGAGAAATTCTTATTTCAGGGCCAATTTTCCTTCTTAAAGTAGAAAGGCAAAGAGTTCAAAAATGTTCTGGAAATGTGAACACTCACAGAATCTTGTTAACATTTAAGGGGTATTGTTAGTTTTTAGGTGACACAAAGACCGTGTGGCTAAGTTTAACAAGCCCCCCCCTTTTTTTAGAGATGCATACTGAAATACTGGCAGATGAAATGTTATGCCCTGATATATAGGATTTACTTCAGTATTATATGGGAGGTGGGGAGGCAGATGGTGGTGTCACTGGACAAGCTTGGCCAGCAGTTGGTGATGTTGGTGATGGGTATACACGGCGATTCATCACACTCCTCTGTCTCCTCCAGTATATGTTTGAAATTTTCCATAATAAAATGCCTTAAGTTCATAAAGGCTGAAACGTTTTTAACTCAGGGATTCTTGTCTTATTGGTTCTTGCAACATGATATTTACTTCCTGAGGACATGTGCTCTTGGACAGGAGAGGAGGCTGTGGGACACCTGCCAGGAGTGGGGAGAGCCGGAGAAGAGGCAGGAAGACCACGACCCAGGAGGTAGGAAAGTGCCCCAAGCCCTCCTTCCCCCACACACATGAGAACCAAGAAGTGCTGGCCCATCCCTCAGGGTCTCCCAGGCTGGGAAGAAACCGTCAAAGAGACTGGTGTTCATTTGGCACGGCTTTTAAACTCAGTGAAAATTATCCTTCGGTCGGTTTCAATGTATTTTAAAGCACGATGAATTATTTTTTCCAGCACAGAGCGATTCTAGCAGAGTGGGCAACCTCTCTAACCTCAAATGGAAAATGGGGAGAGTCACACGTGCCCCATTTCCTAGGATGTGAGGCTAAATGAGATTAATGTACGTGAAGCGTCTTAGCACTAGTCAGCGCTGATAAAGGATGGGTCTGAGTTGAGGGGTTGTTGGCAAATGTCAGCCTTTAGCTTCTCGGGACCATAGTGGAGGCTTCCCCACCTTAGGTGTTCTGTTCGAACAGCCAGGGCCTCACTTAAACTTCGCAATTAGATCAAAGTCAAGGTACACATACTCTGAGACCTCTTTGGGCTGGGAATCCTACTGGGTGTCACAGAAGCCACTGCTGTCCTCTCCCTCTCAAGAAGGGCCACCCTGCTCTGGGAAGAACAGGCCACTTGGGTTGGAGCCCCCCACTTTCTCTCTAGTGGAAGAATGAGTTGAAAAATGAAGAATAGGGCGCTCTCCCCTCGGGCCGTGGCTTTGAGTAGCAAACTGCATCCTAAGAAGGAAGACTATCAGCAGATCATCTCACTCCCAACGCAGGGGCAAGGAGTTCAGGGTACACAGATGGACAGCAGGCCCTGCGCTCAGCAGCACACCCGTACAGGGAGCTTCTCCAGCCTTCCCCGGCTGAGTTACAGGCAAGCGGTCATGAAGGCCTCCAGACCCCAGGGGGCAGCAGAACACACCCTCCCAGGTCAGAGGGATGAGGTGCCAAATGGCTGGGCAAGGTGAGCGGACCACCAACAGCCCTTCCAAGAACAAATCTAAGTAGCCATGGCGTCCAGAGGCCAGGATCCCAGGAGAGGCAGGTGCCCACAGAGCCAGTTCATGAGTCTTTGCCACTTGTCCCCAGGCAACTGGTAAGTGGCTTCCTAGAGACAAGCGCCAGCCAGGAGAAGGTGTTCATGACTTTAGGTGAGGGCTACAGGACCAGAAGGGACAGGGGACAGAGCAGAGGGTAGTCCTGTGGCTCAGAAAGCAGCCACCCCAAGTCTTTAGATTCTTGCTCTATGGCCTCTTGCCAAGTGATGAAAGTGTTTGTCCCATCCCAACCTGCTCCACGCCCTAGCCTCTCTCCTTCAGGCCACTGTCCACCCGACTGGCTCCATGTCCTTTGCACTTCTTCCCTAGGAAGAAACAGAATGGAGGGAGGCCTCCCTACACAAAATTTGAACACTCTCGGAAGGTCCCTGGGCTTTGGGAACTTTGAGATGCATTCGCAGGATTATTCTAAACTCTCTGCAAGCGCCCTGGCTCCGGAGAAGAGAACAATCTCTGTTGGGAGACCTCGAGGGCGAGGGCTAAGAGCTTCGGAGCCACAGTGCCCGAGTTTGAATCCCAGCTCTGCTAGTTACCAGCCCTGTAACAATGGACATGATGCTTAGCCTTCAGGGCCTCAGTCTATAACAAGCGGGCCTACAGGGCAGAGCTGGGGCTTACAACAATGGCTAGACAGAAACCGCCCTCAGTAAATATTAGCAAGGGCTCCTCCTCAGCCCGGTGGGGGTGCACTACTAACAACCCCACGTTTCCTGGAAGAAATAGCTGTGCTGCAAGGGGGGAAGGCATTTGAAGGAAGCCTAAAGTCTTCATAGAAAGCAGCTCGGGGACGTGCACAGAGTACTGTTTTCAACGCAAATCAGAAGACCCAAGCATCTGTGCTTCCTTCCATCAGAATGCACCCCCCGAGACCACCAGGCTCTGGAGGCTGCAAAGAGCAGAGGCCCTGAGGCTGGAGTAGAAATGATACCTAGTGGTGCCCTGGAAGGGTGGAGAAGGAAAGGAAAACTGCCCGGGTGCAGCTGCAGACAAGCAGAAAACATCACTCAACTCTAAGCGGGGCTTGTTAAACTTATCAGCCAGAGCCTGAGAGGCAGGCTAGCTGCCCCGTGGGGGACAGGCCCACGTGGGCAGGCCTGGGGAGAGCCGGCCTTGCAGAGGCCAGGCCTGCACCAGAGGGTTGGGCTTTCCCTGGGATGGGAAGGAGAGAGTTAAACTGACTCTGGGCTTCAGGAGGGAGGCTCTGCAGCTATAAACAGTGAGCCAAGGGAGGGAGGGAGCTGACACAGGATGTGGCCAGGGCGCGAGCTGTCTGATTATTAACTTCACTTTTATTTGGAGGGGGATTCGATTCTCTGTTTTACTTCCCATCAAGGAAGTGAAAGCCCAGGTCTCAGAGGGGCCTGGTTTCAAATTGTTTTGTCACAGCTCATTCATTTTTCCTCTTAAATAAATAAACAAAACCACCTCTTTGTTTTCCCCTTAATGAGCGTTCAGCAAATCATCTATGGGTGAGGCATAAAAGGGGTTTTCTGGAGTCCTTCACGAAGCACTTTGGCTTATTCTTTTAAAAGGAAAAAGGATTCTTCCTTTAGCTTCAGCCTCCTCCAAGGCTCTCCAGGCACTTTCTTTTCTGCCTCCTCGGGAGATCTCAGCCTGAAATCATGACCTCAAGCCCAGCATAGACCTTCCTTGGCTGGCCCCTGGGGCCTGACCTGAACACTGGCATCCCTTGTCACAGGCTCCCACCCCAAGGCCACACAGAGGGAGCAACATCCCAGGACTCAGTGGTTAGTCTCCTTGGTCAAGCTCAGACTGGTGGTGTTCGTTCTCCCATGGCACCCTGACATTTCCACTAAAAATAACTTAAAGCAATTAAAAACACAAAAGGATTCCCTTACAGGGCTTAAGAAAACACCATTATATGTTGTTCCTTTGCCCAAGGTTCAAAATATTTGGGAACTTTGTTTCCAACACCAAAACCCATTCAATAATCTCATGATTCTCTTGCAACAACCCTTTCCTGAATGACCTACATGTGTGAGGCACCACGGGGGACACAAAGACCACTATCTCATGGTCCCTCCCCTCACAGCTCCCACAAGTCAGTCGAGGAAGATGCAGGGAGGAAGACAGGAGAGTCCTGTTAGCAAAGACTAATGGTACCATAGGTGGGCAGAGGAGCGGAGAGACTGGCAACAAAGGGAGGGAAACTGAGGAAGGCTTCCTGCTGGAGCTGATATTTAAGCTGGGCCCTGAAGGACTGGCAATATTAAGAATATTCTAGAAGCTGAAAAGTACCAGATAACAGAGAGACAGTATGGATGTGTGACCAGGTCAGATAGACGACAACAGGCGTGCTGTGGCCTGTCGGGCCTGTGGCTCCTCAAGTGGCATTCAGAGTGGCACTGAAAGTCCTCGTGGTGCCACTCAGGCTCAGCCCCTGGCTACCAGTCCTGGACCCTTGGCTTCGACACCGGTGTGACCTGGGAAGGAGTGGCACTTCATGCTGTGAGCAACAAGATACCACACTTGGATACACACTCGTCTCAGATCCTGACTCCGGACCAACACCTGATGCCCCGGAGGAGCCACTTTACCGCCGCTGGCTTTTATGCTCTTTGAAAGTGGGGCAAGAAGAAAGAGGGTGCCCTGCAACACATCCAGTTCACTTACAAAAGCTCAGGCTTTCGTTAGGGCTCATAGGATGGGACTTCCAAACACCCCTGGGGAAAGCTGCCTCGGTCTCGGGTTTTCCTGAAGTTCTTAGCAATCCCTCCCCCTTCCCGGCACGCGGACCCCGGACCCCAGCCGCCGCCGCTGCCGCCGCCGCTGCCGCCGCCGCCGGCCACGAGGGGGTTAAGCGGCCGCCAAGATGGCCGACTTGTTTTGCACTTCGGAGGGGTCACGCGGGAGGCTGCCCTTTGCCTTGGGGAGGCTGTCAAGGTCCCGCCGCCCTCTCTGGCGCTGTGCCCCGGGCGGCCTGACGGTATCTCCTCCCCTGCGCGTCCTGCAGTCCCGCCGAACTTTCCAGGTCCAAGGCGAGCCAGACTGGCCACCAAGCCGGCCTTGGACGGCGAGGCAGGGAGGGCCATCGGGGAGACGGGGGTCGGGGGGCGCGCGCGGCTGCGCCCTCCGCTCGGAAGGACGCCGGGGTTTGGGCGAGGCGGGCCAAGGCCGCCGGCTGCACCGGCTACCCCCCCCCCCCCCCCCCCCCGCATTTCACCCCCGCTCCGGGCTGAAGCCACCCCAGCTGGTCCCGGGCTGGCCTCCGAGGGCTGCTCCCGCTCCCGGCGGCGGCCTTCGCAGGGGCGCCATGAACGTGGTCGCACTGCCCTCCAGTGGCCAGCCCGCCAAACAGCGTGCGGGGGCCGGCGTCCACCCGCTCGCCCGCCTTCTCAGAGAAGGGCTGCCCCTCGGGGCTGCCTTTGAACTCGTGGCTTTGCTCACGCCCGGTTCCTCACAGGCGGCCCAAGCTTGCCACAGGGCACACCGATGGAAGAGAAGGGCATTTGCTTCCTCCAGTGGTTCTCAAACTTCACCATGCTCCAGGATGCCCTGGACCGTTGGTTCAAGCCCACGTGGCTGGGCCCCACAGTCAAGGGCAGAGAGTTTGCATTTCTAACAAGTTTCCAGGGGCTGCTGCTGGTGGTGGTCCTGGGACCAATTTACAGAACAACGGGCTCAGTTTGCTCATCCCATCCTGGGGATTCTGGCGTCACTCATTGAATATATAATGCACCTGCTGGGCACTAAGGACAAGAAGCCACCACGACCATGACCAAGTGCCCACCCTTGTGGGGCTTACCGTAACAGAGGAGATAGACTCGTTTTTAACAAATAATCTCATAAATAAATATAAGATTCCATTTGA